GAGGCTTGCTGGTCTCATGTGACAAGGATTTCCAGGGCCCTTCAGCTGCCACCTGATGGGAGCTGCATAGGGGATTACTGATGAAGGGGAGGCGAGGCAGCTCTTTACAGTAACACATGCCTCGCCCTGGGACGGCGGCCAGGCAGCTAATTAGAGAGCCCAGCAGCTGTCCAGCCTTTCAGGCAGCAAGCAGCAGTTACCCAGTGCCAGGAGTCGGGCGGGGGGTGGGTCGGGGGGACAGGAGAGGGACCTGGGGCCAGAGACCACCCTCTGAGGTATAGGGACTGGGCTGTCAGGGTTCATGCAGAGGGAACATGGGAGGGCCATGTAAGTTAGAGTGACCTGGAGGGGAGGCGGGGAGGAAGAGAGGACAGGTGGCCTCCAAGTGAGACAGAAGGCAGGGTGGCAAGATGTCCGGCCAACCCGGGAGCGGGCCCAGAGTAGAAGGCAAGGTCAGGTGGAGTCCATCCCGTCTTCACCCCCCTTGCCTATGCCAGTCAGGTCCCAGGGCCTGGGCCTCCTCGCTCCCCAGGGGGATTGGAACTCCAGTTATATCTGTAGCTGTGTGTGGTCCCTCCTTGGTTTGGGGAGTTGCCAAATCCACCTGTGTTCGGGGCTGTCTTCCTGCAGGACAAGTACAAGCGCTCGCTCTGTGTCCCAGGGGAAGAGCGGGGAGGACTTGAGTGACCAGAGGGCTCGCAATGGCGCTTTGGGGCAGCTTCTCTTTCCTTCGTGGGAACCTGCGGTGAAGTAGATTGGGGGAGAGTTAAGGAAGAGGAGAGTGGGAGAGACAGAGGGGTAGTGTGCTTCCTGGCTCCAGTCTCAGGTTCTGGGCCATTTAGATGTGGGCGGTGAGTTGGGGTAGATTTGTTGTTGGTTTTTTGTTTCTTGCTTTTGTTTGTTTCATCCTCACCCGACGATATTTTCCCATTGGTTTTTTTTAGAGGGAGTGGATGAGAGGATGTGAGAGAGACACATCGATTGGTTGCCTCCTGCATTTGCCCCAACCGGGCCCTGGGGATCGAGCCTGCCACCGAGGTACCTGCCCTTGATCAGAAATCGAACCCTCGACCCTTCAGTCAGAGGGCCGACACTCTAACCACCGAACCAAACCAGCCAGGGCTAGATTTGTTTTTTAGGTTCCCGTCAGAGAAGCAGAGATTGAATCCTGAAAACCCAGCTTACCCTGCATAGTTACAGGGAGGAGAGAGAATGGTGCAGAGGGCATTTCCTGCCGGCAGCCGCTGGGTAAACCTCTTTGGGAAATGAATCCCACTTGCGTGAAAACTGGATGTGCCTTTTGAGAGGGCCAGCACCTTGTAGAAATAACAGAACAGGCATTGTCCCTCTCTGGCCTGACCCTGAGCTTGGAGCCTGCACTGTCCCTGGGGATGCCTGGGACGCGCCAATCCCGCCCTAGCTTTCTCATGTGACATGTCTTCTGGATTGTCTAGACCAGCCGTGGGCAAACTACGGCCCGCGGGCCGGATCCGGCCCGTTTGAAATGAATAAAACTAAAAAAAAAAAAGACCGTACCCTTTTATGTAATGATGTTTACTTTGAATTTATATTAGTTCACACAAACACTCCATCCATGCTTTTGTTCCGGCCCTCCAGTCCAGTTTAAGAACCCATTGTGGCCCTCGAGTCAAAAAGTTTGCCCACCCCTGGTCTAGACCCAAGGCACCCACCTCGTCTATCCACACCGCTCTGCCCACGTGATGACTCTTGGAAGTGGGAGAAAGGGGCATGAGCATCCTTCTTTCTTCCCTCATCTCCAGAGAAAGCCCTTCCGTGCTGATAGCCTGGAAATGAGAGGAGCTCCCCAGCCATCACTGTGTTTGGTGAATAACACTGGATGGTGCAATCCCCCCAAGAATTTAGCTGGGCCCTTCTCTTCCTCGTGTGTCTAGCCATCAAACAGACATTTCATGGTCTCGGAATTCATTCTGTGGAGGAGGAAACGGACACATAATGATTTTAAAGATGGAGCAGTGTTTCTTGTTTTACATTTATTTTTTAATTTAAATATTTATTGTTGAAATATTACATATGCCCCCCTCCTTCCCCCATTGACCCCTTCTAGTCTGCCCCGTCCCCTGCCCCAGGCCTTCACCACCCTACTGTCTGTGTCCATGGGTTATGCACATATGCATACACATCCTTGGGTTGATCTCTTTCCACCCACCCCTGCCTTCCCTCTGAGATTCAACGGTCTGGAAAATTACGTTTCAACAGAAGGATGTTCAAGGGCCTGTGGGGACATTGGTGATGGGGGACTGTGGGAAGATGGCATCATCGTCAAAGGGCTGAGGTGGGAGCAGGGTCTTGGAGGAGGAGTGGGTGCGGTGGGCTGTGGAGGAGGCAGGTAGAGAGGCTGGAAACTGTGTGGGGGTCTCTGCTCTTCTGGCTCCTAGCAGCCAGCGCCTGGCCTGTCCAGGGAAACACTGCATGGACAGACTCGCTGTTTGTTTAGAAATATGAAGCTTACAGAATGGACTAAGTAGGTGACACTTAACGAAGCGCAGACATGTGCCTTAAGAGTGGGATTGGATCGAAAGCATTTTGAAGGCCTGCTGCAAGGGGAGAGGGGTGACTCTAGACCAGCCGTGGGCAAACTACGGCTCACGGGCCGGATCCGGCCCGTTTGAAATGAATAAAACTAAAAAAAAAAAAAGACCGTACCCTTTTATGTAATGATGTTTACTTTGAATTTATATTAGTTCACACAAACACTCCATCCATGCTTTTGTCCCGGCCCTCCGGTCCAGTTTAAGAACCCATTGTGGCCCTCGAGTCAAAAAGTTTGCCCACCCCTGCTCTAGAACCTGAGGACCAGGGTTTGAATCAAATGTGTGGATTTGGCCTAATTTCTTAATATCCTGAGACTCAGTGTTGCCATCTCTAAAATGGGAGTGAGGGGTGATAATTCCTGCCCTCCCTGCAGGAGTCTCAGCGAAATCATGAGAAATGATTTACTCCAAAAAGTCTAAGTTCTACACACATGTTCGTTGTTTTCAGAGCTCCTCACACATTCATGTACTCTATCAACGGGTTCAGGCCATGCACCCACAGAGGAGCCTAATGCCCTGTGCCCCTGGGACCTACTCGAAGGGGCAGGAAGTGCTGGAGGGGGCTGGGACCCCCCCCCCCCACACACACACACTATACCATCACCTCCTCATCCAGCCCCCACCAGCTCCCTGGGGAAGACTAGGAAGCAGGAGGTGTCCTGCTCTGACTGCCTCGGCTTCATCTGCCAGGGTATAACCTCAGCCCGCAGTGGGCTGGGCTCCCAGGGCTGACTGCAGCGACCAGCAGGCTCTGCTGCCAGGATGTGGGCTTTGGTTCCTGTTTCTGTTTTGGTTTCGACTTGTGCGGTGGATGTGGCCTGCTTAGGGCCCAGGGAAGGGGAAGTGCCCATACTCAGGGGTGGCATCGAACTCCCCAGGCACAGGGTCATGGTGGTGCTGGGGTGTCGAATATGCCCCATTAAAGCCCTTCCTCGAGGGGATAGGTATGTGCCTTGGTAACCTCTTGCCCACCATCAGGCAGGCAGGGAGCGGGTAGGAGGCTGAGGGGTGGGACAGGGTTGGAGGCTCCTGTCTGTGGAGGAGCTGGGAGGGACAGAGGCAGAGCCCAGGAGCCCAGTGCCCAGCACAGCCTCTGCCCTTCATTTCTCAGTGCAGGGGAGAGACCCAGGGGTGCACACCATCTCCACCCACCAGCACAGGTGCACACAATGGATTTCAGGTCCCCAACTCCTGCCCTGTCACTTCTTGCAAGTTGCCAGCTTAGGGAGCAAAGGCCTGAGACACCTCTGCTCATAGGGCCTGGGATGGGGCAGGGGGAAGGTGACCGTAGGTGTCAGCAGGGGGTAGCCCACTGTGGCCCACCCTGTTTGGCCATCCAGGGGGGATGACGCTAGCTGTCCTCTGCTCTCCCCCTCCGCAGTCATATTATTCTTGTCCGCTTCCGAGTGGCTAGTGCCTCCTTCCATAGGCCGTGCCGCACCTGTCCTTGGACTTGTGCCGATGGTGCTGTCGTTTAAGGCAGGGGTCCTCAAACTACGGCCCGTGGGCCACATGCAAATACAAATATTGTATTTGTTCCCGTTGTTTTTTTTTTTTTTACTTCAAAATAAGATATGTGCAGTGTGCATAGGAATTTGTTCATAGTTTTTTTTAAACTATAGTCCGGCCCTCCAACGGTCTGAGGGACAGTGAACTGGCCCCCTGTTTAAAAAGTTTGAGGACCCCTGGTTTAAGGGGTTCTCAGGGAAGCTTCAGCACCTTCATATTAAAACAAAAAACCTGGGAATCTCTATCAAACGGTCAAGTCCTAGGGATCTATTGGAAACGTAGATGGCCAGGGACGTTGTCAAGTTAGAGTTACAGCAGCTGTTGTCAGTTGCAGATGTTAATATGAAGGCCTCTACAACAATAATGACAAAATAATAGAATGAACTAAGTATTAGGGTGGTGGGATTGTGGGTAGAGGGGTTAGCACCTATTTTGATGGTGTGCTTGTTGTTGTAACTCCCTAAATGCTAAAACCAGCATCTGACATTGCCTACACTCCAAGGGGCTCTTGACCCCCCTTTGGGAACAGATGTGCCCACTACAGGGTGAAGGTAAGAAGCTGAAGCTAAGCCAGAATGGAGCTGGATTGTGAGATTATATCCGCTCTCTGACTTACGTGGGAGCACGCATTCCCTCGTGGTAAAGGAAGTCCTGAGTCCTGGCCCCACTTGGGATATGACTTGGGATGGATGCAGGGCTCTTGTTGCTGGATTAACCAGACCTGAGCAGACAGGCCAGCCTGGAGGAGGTGGCTGGTTCCAGGAAAGGGATCAGGCAGTGTGGGCAGGACGAGTGTCTAGTGCTGAGCCTGGAGCTGGGCCCTGGGGTGTTTGCCTTTGGGCTGCTTCGGCTGGCTGGCCCGGTGGCTCGGAGCTGGGGAGAGTTTAAGCTAAAGAACATCTTCTCTTTCATTTCCAGGGACACATGGAAGCCACCTGCCCACTAGCTGAGGATCGGCTAAGCCCTGGGACTAATGCTTGCCCACGCTGCTGAGAATGGCACGGTCGCCCAACCAGGCACCAGGACAAAGGTGAACCCAGGACACTCCTGGACAGCGATCCTGATGTCTGTGCTGAGCTGCGCACTGAAGGGTGTGATAAGTGAGTGTGTTACAGGCTCCCCGGGGAGAGCAGCCCTCGCGGCCTCGGCAGGGTGGAACCAGGTCAGGAAGTCCTGGCCTGAGCCTGCGTTCCCTCCCAGGGCCTGCCAGGGCCCCCGTAACTCCTGTCCAGGGCCCCCTTCTGGAATTGTGCATTAAGAAATAGTCCCAGAGAAGAATAGGGTGGGAATGGGCGGGCAGGGTCCAGCAGTGTCAGGCCATGTCCCTTGCTGGAGTCATGCCTCTAAAAACGAGGCCAGACTCAGAGGCGACGTGAGTGGCATGAGACACCCAGCACCCGGGAGACGCATCTTCCCAGACCCTCCTTGTCTGTAGGCTCCACTCCTGTCAATAGGAACTGTGCCTCCCCTGGGACTTGGACTCTGCCCAGATGCCACAGTCAGTTTCTGTGACTCGGGTAGAGCATCTGGGGCACTGGGAGGTGAGGGATTTGTGGCACCTGAGCTGCCATAAAACTGGCCATTGGGGTGTCTGCTGCTTTTGTCCTATTACCCTGTGTCTCCTCGTCGGTCCAGATAAGCTTCGTGTAGGGCGAGGGGCCCCCAACTATGGAGCATCGCCTGTCCTCACGTGGCCTTTTCTTCCCAGCCTTGGCCTCTGGCTTTTCCTGGGTGATACTTTTAAATATGACCATTGTCAGCATTTCCAAGCCCCAGAGGCCTGAAGGCTGTTCTGTGTGTGGGACCAGGGACCAGCAGGCAGAAAGCCCCCCCCGGAAGGCAGGGCAGGGAGACGGGGTGCTTTTGCACACCAGAATGGACAAGCGTTCAGGAGCAGCTGGGCTGGTCCATGGGAGCCGGAGCCTTCGGTTCCACGGAGGAGCTTGCAGGAGGGAAGAGAGTAACCAGGTATTTCTCAGCTTTAGGTGGAGCTTGACTCTACTGCTAGCTGAGAGTATACTCAGGGCTAAAATCTGTTTTCACTGAGCTGGGGCTTGCAAAGTCAGTTTGTGCTAGGAGGGTCTTTCAGGAAGCATGCTATCGGGTTGCTTTGTGCCGGCGTGTGTGAGTGTGCCTGGGCCGTGGGAGTGGCGTGGGGGGTGGAGAGAGGCCCATGGAGGCCGCTGTGGGAATGTGGTGACTCAGTCAGGAGACAGGCCCATCCACATAACACAGACCTCCCCAGAGCAGTCTACATCACCGGCCTTAAAACTGTGGTGCCCTCTGTCCAGTGAGCCCACTCCTGGAATTACTCATTAACAGATCATTCCAGAGAAGAAAAGGGCTGAATTATTTTGTTACAGGCATAAAAGAAGATATTTCTTTGGTGTTGGTGTAACAGTGGAAATGGGAAACAGTTGTTCTCCCTTTGTTGAACATCTGTGTTAAGAAAATTATAGTTTTCTACTTGTGGAATATTACACAGCCATTATAATAATGAGCACATAGGCAACACACCAATTTGGAAAAACAGTTTATGATATAAGAAGTGCTAATATCAGGTTACAGAACAAGTACATTAGGGTAACTTGTAAAATAAACTTGTGAGAAAAGATTGCAAAGAGGAAATGATAATGGCTGCTAGTTTGGTGGAATTATGAGTGACTTTTCCTCCTAAGATGCCTGGATTTTCTCTTAAAACAAAATTTAATCTGGATGAATACACAACCCACCATTAATGGTGACTTTCTCTACGATGGGGGTTGATGGGGGACTTTGCTTTCTAAGTCGTTCCTTTCTGTAATGTTTAAATTTCAACTGTGAGCATGTTATATTTGTAATCAGAAAAAATAAAAAAGATATTTTAAAATGATAAAATTGAAATTTTAAAAACAGGAGAAAGAGGAGAATAGAAAGGTTAAGCTGGCTAGCTGTTTATATCTGCCCTAATCAATGTTTAAGGGGCTGTGCCTGCTTGGGCCCATTCATTCATTCATTTATTCATTCATTCTATAGGCAGTAGTGGGTCTTGTTGCCAGGCACTGTCCTAGGCACTGGACAGAGCCCCTATCCTGATGGAGCTTTTTCTCTAAGTGTGTGTGTGTGTGTGTGTGTGTGTGTGTGTGTGTGTGTGTGTGTCGGGGGCAGGGGTAAGACAATGAACAAGTAGCAAAATATCAGACTGTGAGAGTGCTGTGAAGAAAATGAAATGGGGTGATGTGAGTGACAGGGAGGCGATTTTGGATCGGAGATCAGAGGTCTGAGGGGTGGACCTGAGACCAAAATGACAGGGAGGCAGCCACATGAGGTCTGGGAGAGCCTTGCCAGCCATGCACAGGGTGCCCAGCCTACAGGCCCATCCACAGTGCCCTTTGTTGCTTGAGCCCTGTAGAACCTCTGTGTCAGGGCTGACGGTCCCTCAAGCCCACTTCCCCCCTGCGCCTGCCCGCTGGGATTTGCTTAGCATCCGAGACCCTCCCCTGCTTGCTGGCCTGTGTGGAGCGGTTGCCCCTGACACACTGGCTGCTGTTGATCCAGGCACAGGGCTTCCCTGGCCAGCCTGCGCGTTGGCCATTGCTCCTGGCGGGCAGGGCTGGGCCATCTGAGATTCCCAGCAGCTGGGAGTTGGGGAGGCTGCAGGTAATGCGTGTCCTGGTAGGGGATCTTTGAATGGCACATGCCTTGAGGCCCTGAGAGGTGGCTGCCCTGGTCCTGAGAGGGGGAGCTTGTAACCCTGGAGGACCTTTGTGCAGATCCTGCCTCAGAACAGAACATGGCCTCCCACAACAGTCTGAAAGCCTTGGTAGCTCTGACACCCATTCTGAGCTTCACTGATGATCTACCTTAAATCTCATATCCTTCTTGTTTCCTGGTGTCTCTCCATATACCGTCCAGCTTTCCAGAAGCAGAAACTCGGAAAATGGCAGAGGAGCCTGTAGTCAGCTTCAAGCAGTGCAGTATGCTGAGGGGACTAAAGGCTCTGGAGCTGGGCTCGAGTCCCACCTCTGCCTTGTACAGCTATAAGAACTTAGGCTAATTATTTAGTCTTTCTCTGCCTCAATTTCCCCATCTGTAAAATGGGCTTGAAGAATATATGAGTTAATACATGGAAAGTGCTGAGAAGAATGCCTGATTATTAATATTACTAGAGGCCTGGTGCATGAAATTCATGCACGGGTAGGGTCTCTAGGCCTGGCTGGCGATCAGGGTCGATTGGGGCCTTCCAGCTGCTGGCCAGGGCCTTCCTTCCAGCTGCCAGCCGGGGCCTCCCTTCCCTGGCTGCCAGCTGCTGGCCGCCGGCTGGGGCCTTTCTTCATTCCACACCGGCCTCTGGTGCTCAGCGCATGTCATAGCGAGTGATAGAACTCCGGTCGAACTCCCATGGGGACACTTTGCATATTAGCCTTTTATATACATAGAAGATTGTGACTGAGAGGTGGAGGGAGAACCATCCTTGGGGACTTTCCTAGGGGATGCCCATAGCAAGAGAGGTGGAACTCTGGCATCTGGGCCAGCCAGTGACCACAGGTGTTTTTCCCCACTTGCTTCCCTTCTGGTCCGGAAGCAAGCTCATGTTGTCCCCTCCCCCGCAACTTGATAACCACAGGGGAAGCTCAAGATGCACCCAGATGCCCAGATGCAAGGGCAGCTCATGGATCCCACTCACCTGCAGTACAGGCTCTGTCAGGGGCCTGGGCTCACGGTCACTCACGCCCCACCCCCACTGTCTTGCCCTCAGGGCTGAGCCCCACTGCATCTCCCCAGAGCGTAAAACTGTAGTGATCTGTGTACCTGGGGATGGGGAGTGAAATTTGGGAAGTAGATGGGGTGAAAGAGGAAGGCTTACTTGGCCTGGCTACATGGAGGGGAAGCCCAGTTTTCTAACAAGGTGCTCCTTCGGACCTTGAGTCATTGTGTGTGGCACCTCAGCTTCCTGGAACAAGATGGGAGTTTTTTGCAAAACCGAGGACAGTCATCTCATCTGGTTTTGCTTCCAGCCTGCCTTGGGCTTTTGTGCATTCTCTTCGCTCCTCTCAACTGCTGGCTTTGCTCTCCGGCGCCCTGAGGAATGGCTCAGCAGGCCCCGAGAGCAGCGGGGAGACCGTCCTCGGGAGCAGGGCTCTGGAGGCAGCCCTCTCCCCTCCCGTCACCCGTCCTTGGAGGAGCCGTGTGCTGCCGGGAAAGTCCGTGAGCCCTGGCCCTTTGCTGGAACTCAGTGTTCCCAGCCCCATTGACCAACAGGTTTGAGGAGTTTCATCGACACTTGTACTTACTCGAGTGCTGTTCCCCCAAACCCCTCTTGTGAGACTGTCCACACTTTTTTCCTGCCTTCAGTCTGGCCCACACTCTCCTCTTCACTCCACCCTAAACGTTCTGGCCCGGGCTGTTCCATTTTTGTGTCCTGGTTCTCAGGACGGTGTGTTTGTCACCAGGAGAAAGCGGCCAGCATCCAGCGTGCTCAGTGCGCTGCGGGCTCTTCCGGATCCGTTTCTCCCCGGGGCTCCGATCCCAGGGCCGAGCGAGGAGGTACGGGAAGGGGCCGGGGCAAAGGGCTCAGGTGGGTGGAGGCCAGGCAGGGATAGGCACCTGTTGGACCTAGCCGAGGGTGGGCGAGCTCAGGGGAAGCAACGGCACCTGTGGTTATTAGACATGGGTTTGGGGAGTGGAGTTCTGAAAGTCCACCCGAGACACTGCCTGCCTCTAACCTTAGTGTCTGTCCCATCCCAGCTGACGACACTGTCTTACCTCGAGGTTCCCTGTCTTCACCCCCATCTCCTGGCCCCAGCCAGGACTTCCGGGTTCTCCCATTTATCTTGCATGAACCAGGCGAGTTCTCTGGCACGACACCTCAGATGCGGTCTGGCCTTGCTTAGATATGCTTCCCCTCCACCTACCCCCGTTCTTTCAGGCACAGAAGATTCCAGAAACAGAACCCAGGCGTCTGGCGCCCCGTTCTCTCCCTCGTCCTTTCTTCTGTTCAGCGGCTTGCCCTCTCTCTCCCTGTGACAGCTCTCTCTCTCTTTATTCTTGCTTCTGCTCGTAAGGCTTCCAAGCCGCCTGCTCCGGGGGCCACTGGAGCCTCTGATTTGTTACCGGCCGG